GCATCATCATCATCATCATCATCATCATCATCATCATCATCATCATCATCATCATCATCATCATCATCATCATCATCATCATCATCATCATCATCATCATCACATCAATCATCATCATCATCATCATCATCATCATCATCATCATCATCATCATCATCATCATCATCATCATCATCATCTTCCTTGCTCCTCATCCTCCTCCTCCTTCTCCTCCTCCTTTTCCTGCTCCTCCTCCTTTTCTTCCTCCTCCTCCTCCTTCTCCGCGTGCTCCTGCGCGCCGCGCGGGCCCTTTTGCCCTCGGGGCGGTTTATTTGGGAGCCGGCGCGACCCCCCCACCGCAGTTGCGACCCACAGCTCAGCGGCGAGCCGCCCCAAAGGAGGAAGGGGTGCGCCGGCCAGGGCCTATACCTCGCATGCCTGGGACCGAGACGGCGACGTCCAGGATGGCGCGGACGGCCGCGACGGCCTGTTGCCCGCCTACGCCAGCACCCAATGGAGGCCGCGCCCGCGCGCCGTCGCCGCTCGCGCCAGCCCGGCCCAGCGCGAGCGCCCACGCGCCCGACCAGTTCCGCGCAGTCGCCAAGCTCCGCTGGTCTCTGCGCTTGGCGCGGTGCGGCCTGGTCCCCAGGCGCGGCCTGGCGCCTTCATGCAGGGCGGGCGCGCGGGGCGGCTGGCCAGCGAGCGCCAGCAGCGCGGCGCGGGCGCAGCGCTGCAGCGCCGGCGGGGGCAGGGGCCGCGTCAGGGGGTCAGGGCGCCTCGTGCTGCTCCCTGCGGCTGCGGCGCACGCCGCCTGCTCTTCTCTGGCTGCTGTAGGTTCGTCGTCGCCCTCGGCCGCCCACTCTACCTGCTGCCCGCCAAGGCCATGGAGTCTGGCCGCGTGCCGCCGCGCTACGGCAGAATGCAGCGCAATGCTAATTTCCTGCCATAGGGTAGCGACCAAAACAGGTGTTTCGGCGTCACCGCCCGCTATTACCGCGAGCGCGCGGATGGCGGCTAAGGCGCTCTCGCCTGCCCAGCCGCCGATCTCAACTACACGCGGCGTCGCGTTGAGAACGGCGTGACGGCGGCGTTTCTCGCGCCCCCCCCAGGCCGCCGCGGCCCCATCTCGGCCGGCGGCAACGCGCGCCCTGGCGGGGCCCAGGTGGGCACCCGCAATGGAAATGTCCAGAGCCATTCGTCTGCCATCACGATTGAAAACCACGCCGAGCACGTCGCCCGGCGGGGCCCCGTCATCGGCACCCTCGAGCATGACCGGCCGCAGGCCCTCCAGACGCTGTTCCTTGAGCACCCCGGGGTCAACGCACTTCGCGGCGAAGCGCAAAAGGATGCTCCGCACCTCATTGTGACCTCAAAAAACTCCGCCGCCCACCTCGCAGCCTTCCGCGCGCACGAGACCAATGATCCCTCCCAGCAGCGCCCCGCGTGCGCCCCGGCGCCCGGCGTGCTGGCAGCGCGTCTCCACTGTCGCAAAAAAAGTGACTTGGTCCGCGGTGCAAAGAAGGCGCTTGCGCCGAGCCATGCGCCGCGCCCCGCCGGCCATCGCGCGCACTCCCTTCAAGGGTGCACAAAGGAAGCCGCCCGCTCCCGTGCCGCCGCCCTGGCGCAGCCGGCCCCAGCGCACCTCTTCTGGAGGCTGCCGGGGACGGTCCGCCCGCGTCGCGAACACCGCGGCGCCCGTCAAGTCCCGCTGCAGGTGCGTCGGCGGTTCCTGCGTGAAGCCCAGCTTGCGGCCCTCGCGCCGCAGGATGGGCGACAGCGCCAAGAGCGCCTCGCGCGCCCCCCGCAAGTCCGCCGCCGAAGCCGGGAAGGCAGCTTCTAGACCAGCATCCACGCGCATGGGGGGCCCGCAGCATTACCCCCACAACTGGCGTCGCCACCCGGCGAAGTTGGCCGCCGCTGCGCGCGGGGTAGCCAGGCGCCAGAAGCCGCTCCAACGTCTCGCGGGGGAAAGTTGCCCAGCCGGCGCCGCTGCGGCGCCCGGCTGGCGTCGACGCCACCGCCCGGTCGTAGTCAGCCAGGGCGGCAACGCACCCATGGCGCCAGCGCAAGAGGTGCGCTGGCGCCCCGACAGTGACGCGCCGCAGAATGGCGCCCGCTACCTGACAGCAGGGACCCTTCTCCTGAGCCCGCTTGAGGCTGGCCGCGGCGTCGCGGACCAGGGTTGCAGCCTAGTGGAGACCCTGCCCTGAGGGCGCGAAACCAGAGGCCAAAGCGTCGTCGCGGTCGCGTCGGTGCTACGCGCATCCAAGCACCCGCAGGTCTTGACCGACTGCCGCCTGCAAGGTCTGCGGCAAGTTCTGGGCGGACGTCTCTGGCACCAACCAGACCTTGGTCGCGACGTGGAAACCGATCCCAGCCAGCCGGGGCGCATGGGCGTCTTGCGAGGCAGCCAACTGCGTCGCAGGTCCCACCGCGTAGACGTCGCCGGCGTAGGCGGCGATCTTCGCCCCCAGCTCAAGCTGGCGCAGCTCCACACGAGCCTCTTCCAGCACCTCCGCGAGAGCGCTGCAGAGAAGAAATGTGCTCAACGGGCAACCCTGTGGCGCGCCAGTTGCCTGTTCGATCCAAGTGGCGCTGCCGTCGTCGGCGTCGAAAGCGCCCCGCACGTTCGCGCCGAGCAGTCTGTCCACAAGGGGGGGCCGGCCAAGGCGCTCGCTTGCGCGCGGCCCCCTGCGCGGCGCTGCGGCGAACGCTGCCGTGGGCGCTCTTTAGGTCGACGCTCAAGACGCACTGATTCGCCCCGGACCGGGCCCCAGGCACCGCTCTCAGGTGGAGCGCCTTGAAAGCCGCGTCCGCGCCGCCCGCCCGCCCCAGAGCGAATCGCATCTCGCCAGCGGCGTCGCGCACCTCT